TTGATTCTTGTTCTCCGTGCTCTTGTTCTGCTTCAGAGTTGTCATCTTCTTTAGCTTTCCTTTCTATCACTACTGAAATAGTGTCTTTGGTAGTACTGTCATCTTTCTGCTCCTTTTGCAGTTCATTTTCTGCAAAGACTACATCTCTGCTAACAACAACCTTGCAGGCAGTGGGATCCCACAAGCGATACTCCTTAACATTGTCAGCATAACCCAAGAATATACATTTCCTGGATTTTGGATCCAGTTTTGTTCTTTCTTGGGAATTGTACATCACGTACACAGGACATCCAAACACATGTAATGAAGAATAATTAGGTGGCTTTCCATTCCATATCTCCATTGGTGTCTTCAAACCAATTGTTGTTGATGGTGATCGGTTTATTACATAACAGGCAGTTTTCACTGCTTCTGCCCAGAAAGATTTAGCCACTCCTGCTGTTCTTAGCATAGCTCTTGTTCTTTCTAGAAGAGTTCTGTTCATCCGCTCTGCTACACCATTCTGCTGAGGTGTATAAGGCACTGTGAATTGCCTTGAAATACCATCTTGCTTGCAAAATGCCAGAAAATCACCATCTACATATTCTCCTCCATTGTCTGTCCTTAAGCACTTAATTCTTTTCCCAGTTTCAAGTTCTACTAGTGCTTTAAATTCCTTGAATACTAGAAACACATCTGACTTCTTCTTGATTGGGTACACCCACAATCTCCTTGAGTGATCATCAATGAATGATACAAAATATTTTGCTCCTCCAATAGATACTTCCAGTGATTCCCATACATCAGAATGAATCAAGTCCAGTATGTGTCTACTTCTTGTAGTCACGTTGCCAAATTTCAATCTATGCTGCTTACTTGTCACACAGTGGTCACAAAATGGTAAGGTTATCATTTTGAGCCCGGGCAAGAGATTACGTTCTGCTAGAATTTTCAGGCCTCGTTCTGACATATGACCAAGTCTACGATGCCACATCATTGTTTCTTCTTCTTGACTAATTGCAACTGATGCATCTGCTTCTTTCAACGTATCTCCCAAAAGCATGTATAAATTGGTTGTGATCTTTTCTGCTTTCATCACCACCAAGTTGCCTTTAACCACTTTCAAGATTCTACCTTCAATATGGATCTTACAATTGAGGTCATCCAATTGCCCAATGGACAATAGATTCTTTTTTAAGCCTTTCACATGTCGTACTCCTTGAATTGTACGAATAGTACCATCATGCATTTTTAATTTGACAGTACCAATTCCAGCAATTTCTAGGACATGATCATTTCCCATGAACACGGATCCTCCTGAGATAGGTTCATAATTGTAAAACCAGTCTCGACATGGAGTCATGTGCCAGGTTGCACCTGAATCCAATATCCAACATTCATGAAGTTGTCTTCCACCTCTAGATTTTACTGCTTCACTATATAAGATTTCACCATCATCTGAAGTACTTGCAACACAACCTTGAGAGGTTGATGCTTCAATATTCTTCCCTCCTCCACTCTTCTTGTTCCAACAATCTTTCTTCACGTGCCTTCTCTTGCCACAATTGTAGCATTTGAGGTTCTTCCTTCTCTGAGATTTTGATCTACCATGATTCTGGCTCCCACTGGAACCACGTTCCATTGATCTTCCTCTCATCATCGTCAATGCTTCTGCCTGTTTAGAATTTTCCAGTCTATCTTCCTTATTCTTTCTCCTGGATTCTTCTTCAAGAACTGCTCCAACAATATCATCAAAGGATAGACGACCGATAATGTTGTTGTTTGTTATATTGATGATGAGTTGATCATATGAATCTGGTAAACTCTGGAGTAGAAGCTCCGCATGTTCATTTTCTACTTTGTTGAAATCTGCGGCTGTAAGCTGAGCAAATAACGTATTCAAATTGTTGATGTGGTTCGTTACTGATGTGGACTCACTCATTCAAAGAGTGTAGAGTTTCCTCTTCAAGAATATTCTGGTGTGAAGTGACTTGACCTCGTACAACTTGATCAGTGTGTCCCAAATCTCCTTTGCAGTCTTCTTCTCTGCAACACTGGATAACACTGAATCAGCCAATGCTAAGTGCAAATTGGCAACAACATTGTTATCCATTTCTCTCCATTTTTCTTCTAAAATATCTGCAGGTCTGCCTTCAATTGCATCAAGACAATTGTCTTTTCTCAAAATTGCTCTTATCTTCAATTTCCACAGGGAGAAATTACTCCCATTAAATTTCTCTATCTCATATTTTGCTGCCATATTTTCTCTCTTTATTATACCGACTTATGCACTTCTCACTATGAATAGTATTGTCTACTGAAATAACACAGGTAGACCATGAACTAACACACACAAAAAAAATTCCTAGGAAAGAGAGGTGGGTCACTATAGACACTCTTAAATACCAAATCTTTCCTAGCCAGAACGACACTCTTAAATACCAAATCTTTCCTAGCCAGAACTTTCTCAGATAGCAGTTTCACACTACCAAACTTTTTCAGTAACAACTCTTTTTTGATGTGAAAGATCAGATTAAATCGCAATCACAGAGTATACTCAGAATTTTACCAACACTATTCTAATGACAATAGCAGCGGAATAAACTAAACCAATAGCTCTGATACCACTGTTGGGACCAGAGTATCAGTATAATAACACACAACTAAAATAAGAGATGAAAAATAAGAGCCAATAAAGACAATATAAAATTATCACAGAAGAAAAATTACACTACTCCTTACTCTAAAATTTACTCCTCAAAATAGGAGACTATTATTACCAAGTACAAGCTCGGTGTAATACAAAATGAAAAGGAAAGAGAGGATTTTGGGATAATGCTTAAGGAACCCTTAAGCCTCCTTTTATAAGCCAAAGGAGGTCCTTCTAATTGAACTCCCACCGATGTAGGACTAACAATAATTATTAGTTAATATTTATTAAAAACTAAATATATTATACTAGTCTCATTTATTTTATTTCTAATTTAATGTTTCTTTTTTTGTATTTTTTTAATAAATTTTAGTTAATAATTAAAAATGTGTTAAAATTTGTGAAAGGACAAATAACCCTAAGTGACACCTCTAGTTTGAACATGCTTCCATTGAAGACCATGCTTATTTTTATTTTTATTTTGTTGGGCAAATTCAATGTATTGCTAATTTTGGCCCCCCATGATTTATAACGAGGGTGCATACATTGGCAGTGGTCATGTCATGGAGGCTAGTCTATGGTTCCATCTATTAATATTCCTTTCAAAAGGCATGCATGCATTATCATTTATCATTTATGAAGGATAGTTTAGATTTGTACTTCACTTTGACTTGACTACACTCTATCACGAAGACAATGATGCCAATCCCTCTCTCTCTTCGATATAGAATTGACAACACAACCATTTCAAAATCTTAATTCTTTTCCTCTGAGTACTTGTTGTCCACAATAGTAATATAATACACCTTAGACACTTTTTCATACTTAGGTAAGAACAAGCCCAAACCATGATACATGGTCAAGTAGTAACATTTTTTATCATTCCTTTATGGGAATTGTTTTAAGTTTTTGAATTTGGGCTTCTAGTTTAGCCCACTTTATCAACATGAAATGTTTGATTAACCAATTTCATTTCTATAACAGTTATGGGGGAAGCAGGGATTTGAATCCTTATTATTTTTCAAAACATTTTATAATTATAAAAGCATATCTAAGCCTTCATTTTCCTTAAACTTGTTTGTAAAAAATCAGTTTAGTGCTGCTAATGCCAGTAACATTTGTGTGGCAAATCCTCCCTTTTTCTGCATCTATGCTACTACTGGTTCAGGGTGTTTTTGTAGACAGAGCCCAATGTTTGATTATACTAGTTTTGTTTTACTTTGTTCTTTTTTTTTCTAGTTGACCCAAAAAAGTTAGATTTTGTTCTAGGCTCGCACCCATAAGGCCCTGACCCAACAACTGGAGTAGGTTGGGCTATCTTGCCCCACATTTACTGGCCCAAAAATAAAACTTTGTCAAACATTTGGCCTGTGTGGCAATGTTGGGTTACCTGCCAACCAGAATACTACTAAGGACTTTTATTAAACATTGACACGACCAAACAAATAGACTTCAATTTTATTAAACATTGAGGTGCAACTTTATTATTAATAATAAAAATGCAAGTATTTATGACACTACACTTAAATTTTACCCTTTTACTTTTATCTGTTGTCCATTAAAACTACAATAAATAAATTTGTGAATGAATTGAGATAAAAAAAAATTAAACATTAATTGTACATTAAACGTATATTTATTTAATAAATTTGTGTTTATTTATGAAAATTATATTAATTTAATTAACATTATTTTATGAACCATCACAAAGTGATATTTGTTCAATAAATAATCAGAATATTATATTTTATGCCTTACTATAACTTTAATTTAAATTTTTAGTTTGTCCCAATAACTTGTTTAACTTTTTTTTTTTATCATAAAAACTTATAAGATTAAAAGATATATAAAAATAAAATCAGTACTCACAGAGTAATAGTATTTAAAGATATTTTAATGTAATTTTTCAAAATAAAAAGTACATAATAAGAATATATAATAATATAATTTTATTAAAATTATAAAATTGAATATAATTTAATACATTAATATTATTAAATTTTATATTTTTATAAAATTTTATTTTTACTAAATTATTATTATTATTTAAGCAAATAAGAAAAACTAATTTTAATAACGTAGGTTTTTTAACTTATTAAAAACTTTATTTTTCTATAGAAAAGGAAATTGAAAGACTAAAAAAAAAGCAAATAAATATAAATAAATAATGGATAATAAAAAATAGAATTCAAAATTCATATTGTAATATTTAAAATAATTTAAGAACTTTTAATATTACATATAAATATAAAAAAATAGTATAGAAGGTTGGGACATTACTCACATAACGATTCAAAAAGGAGGTTCGGAGCTAGGCTCGTAAAGCCGTTGGTTGCTATGGTCAAGTCTTGACGATCCCTCTTCTGAGTAGCTTCCTTCGTTTGTCACAGAGACACACTGAGAGAGAGAGAGACAGAGAGAGATTGTGGAAATGGAAGGTGGTGACGGCGGCATCTTCCTTGACTCAGATTCAGAGCCATGTGGTGTTGTTGGAGGTACCCATCTTTTCCCTCTCTTTCTTGATTCTTCTTCTCTCTTCGGTCGCTATGCCCTACCTCTTACTTAGGGTTTTATCTTCCTATCATCTGCAAAACACTCCATGCATTCTTATTTATTTATCTCCTCTTTCAAGACCAAATTTTACCTCCCATTAGGGTTTTTGCGCTTCTAATTCTGGTTAAAAACACTCAATTAAGTGTCTGTTTGGGGAAAATTTGATGTTTTAACTTGTAATTCGTGATTATATAGCGTGTAGATTCATCCACTAACTGAAGCCCCCGAGTCCAAACGAAATTCTAGATGCAAATTTGGGCGTTTTGAGATCTAATATATTGTTCCATGGGGTAATTGGAAATGGGTTTGTGTTGCAGGTCAAAAAGCAAAGAGAGGAAAAATGGTGAGGGGAAATTCTGTTTCTGTGGGAGTGGGAGCTTCTCAGAAGAAAATGCTTGCTGACATAACCAACCAGCAGCAACAACAGCATTACCCTCAAACCTTGAACCAACAACCTAAGCAGCAGTCTGCACCTAACATCTCCACCGACCAGCTTCTCAAGGTATTGTATACTTCTGACTATTAATTTCCTCTTTTTCTGTTATTAATTTGTAAATATACTGATGGATAGTTTGATTCTGTTTCCCAGGAAAATGCAATGTTGATGAAGCTTCTAGCTAATAGAAAGTAATACTTTGTGTGAATTTGGTCTGCTTTTCTGTCTTATTTCTGTCGTCAATGCAATTATGGTGGTATGAATCTGTTTTCATTCACTGGGGTTTCCTCAACTTGTTTGGACAGTGCGATTATAGAATCATGTAAAGTGGAGCTACAAAAATGTCAAAGCAATTTTCAGAAACTGCGGAAGCAAAATTCGGAACTTGCCCTGACAAATAGTCAAATGCTGGCGGTACTGCCCGAATGTTGACATTTTTTTACTCTTGTTGAAATTCTGATCTACGATTGCTGATGTGTGTTGTTTTTATCTATCTATGCAATGCAGGAGCTTAATTCTGGTAGACAGAAGGTGAGTCATGAAATGAAAACATTGGTGCATGTCATACCTACTGCTTTCATTTTCTTTTCTTTTATGGTGTATTGAATGATGTTGAATTTGTTGCCATCCAGCTAAGGGAACTTCAGCATGAACTAGGAGGCAAAAATGGTATTCTCAATGCTATGAAATTAGAATTGACGGTCAGTTTAACTCATCTTGAAGCTGATAAATTGCAAATGAGCAAACAACAAAGGGCTATTTTTGTTTTTGACTGTTCTATTTCTCTTTGCTTAGGCAAAAAAGCACACAGTGAAATTGAAGCATGAGATTGATGCAAAGGAGGTAAGATATGAATTTTTCTGTATTCGCTTCTGCTGGATGGTCTTTAGTCCCAGCTTAATGTTGTTGCTACAATTTTCCCTTTCCTTATCTACTGCTAGGTTGGAGCAAACCGGAGCAAGCAATCAGATCAACCATTGCAAGAAGATAACAGGGGGGATGCAAAAAGGAAGAGGGTGTCAAGATCTAAATGTAATTAGTATAGTGGATCCACTTTGTGTGCATGTGTATGTGTTAATTCAATTTAGATAACCTTTAAATAGGTTTTTCTCTCATGCAGCTTCTGCACCTGCTGTCATTAAACAAGTTAAATCCACAGAGAAGGTTGACAATCAAAGGTATGAGTTTGTCTCTGCTTGCTATACTGCACTAATGTCTGACTCCAAAGCTGGACTCTGGTTAGGAACGAGGCAGCTTATATGTCTCCATTGAATGCATACAGGTATAGTTTGAGAAGGCAATCTGCAGTGATGAAAGCTGAGAAACCAGAACCAACAAATGACTTCCTAGAGGAAGATGATGTTTCACATATCCAAGAAAATTTGGGAAATGAAGATGGACCAACATCATTAGGATCCAAAGTCCATGAAGAAGCCAGAGAAGATACTGAATGTGATTATTGTACCAGACTTGTCCCTTTTTGTTAACTTTCTCATGTCATCAATTCTTATACTTATTGTTTGCATGCAGCTTCAGGACCTACGAACACTGAACAAGTTCATGCAAAAAAGAATGTTGAAAAGAAGAGGTAGGTATGTAAGAATGGTTTGGATTTTTTTAGTGATTGAGAGAATCAAAAGCTGGCTTATACATCTTTGAAAATTTTTTACAGGCATAGTTTGAGAAGGCAATCTGGCAAGTTCAGGCCAGAGAATCCAGAGCCAACTGAAGACTTCTTTAAGATAGATGATACAAAATTTAATGTCTCCCATTTATGTGATAATATGTCAGAAAAAATTCATCTAACAACATCAAGTGTATCTGGACAAGAATACAAAGAATACAATGCGTGTACATTTGAGCCTCAGGAACTTCGTAGATCATCTGTTGGACGGCCATTGCGAAGATCAGTTGAGAAGGTTGTGTCCTACAAGGAAATTCCACTTAATGTGAAGATGCGGAGAGCTAGTTGAGTCCATTTCATATCAGGTTCTCTCTGTGAATTATGTAGAGAAGAATGCACTCGAAACATGAAAGCATGCTATGTCCTACATCCGGATGCTATAGTTAGTGCATGATGATAGGGTTCTATTGATTTTGTTTTAGCTTCTTGTTTAGGGCTTTGCATAATTGAAAACTGATGTACGTTCTATTATGATCATCTCTTGATGATAACATTTGATCCATTTGTTGATTTCCATGCCTCCATTCCTTGATTTGTAAACTTAATTATGCAGTGGTAGCGCCAGATGCTTGTTCTCTGTTTTTTAAATGAAAAAGAAGTTCATAGCCCCCCAAAATAAATAAAACAAAAGAAAAAAGAAGAAGAAAGATTCCCGTGTGTTTAAATTAGATTTTGTAGCCATAAATTTGCTTTAACTTGATTTTGTCGAGCAGCAGAGCTTGAGTTATGAGTAATGGTTTATATTTAGAATTCTTTGTTATGAAAAAAAGTTATTTTGGTAAAAATAGTGTTTATTAAAAAAAATTACTTATAAATGTGTATTGTTGTCAATAGTGTAAATACAGTATTTCCTCCTATCTTTTTTATAAAAAATAAAATGGAGTATTTTTTGTCCTTATTATAAGAAATAAATAATAGATTCAAAATGTATTAATTGTTAAATTTCTTTTATACTATTCTTTTATTAGTATTATTAAATATACAAATTATTAATTATATCATTTAATATTATGGGTATTTAAAGTTATCAAATGTATTGAAATGCATAAGGTCTAAAAAATAGATTGTAGGTTCTTAATCTTTTTTTTTTCAGACACGTGTTATAACACTTAAATTGTTTTTTCTTTTTAAATAATGAATTTTTGAATTTGCTTCAATAGAATTTTGTTTTATTTTCTTGTCTCTGTTTGAATGAAAAGATATATTATGCGGTGAAAGACCATTGATTCTCACTCAAACATGAACAAATAACAACCAAAACCAAATTAAAAAATGGATTGAGATCAACAAGGCAGCATCAGCAAAGTGACCTTTGCCCCAGTTGTTCCCGGATTTAGCAGTTCAAACATGCATGCATGCATAAATCATAGACATGTTTGAAAAGCCATCATTTTGGAGAAAAAAAAATCTCAACCAGTTAATAGAAAAAAAACATTTCTTAATTAAATAAAAATTAAACACTATGAAGTTGTTGAATAATATATGTCTATATATATATATATATATATATATATATATATATATATATATATATATATATATGTATGTATGTATATCTGTAAGACTCAAATTTATAGTTGTCGCTGATGTGGTTCTGATCCATTAACACCATTCTGAAAGTGAATCGCCTACAACACACCTCATTGTAGTACTCATTGATCCACTTAAATTATAAAAATATTTAGTATATCAAAATTATATAAATAAATTTAATATACTTTTTATGATAATTTAAAGTATTTAATATAGTGTGTTTAATATTTTTTAACATATGCCTTTAAACATAAATTCCAAAATTATTATTATCATTATTACGAACAGTTTGCTCTTTTTTTTTTCTCTTTTTTTAAACTTAAACATTTTACTTGGAAGACTTTAATATCTTGTTAAAATCAAACAAGCTTATCCGATATTGACAAAAAGTGGAAAAGTTAGTGGTGGATGAAATGATTTTGATTTTATTGCATATAATCTCACTGTCATTGGTTTTAATGTAAAATTAATGATATTTCACATGAAGAGCATGTTAGAGATATATGAAATTATAATCTTTTGACCTTTCTTAAGTTTGTATATTTTATGTTGACGAATCTCCATGGTTTTCGCCTCACAATTCATTCTGCCGCTGAACTTCAGTTGATCTACCAATTCATCATGAAAATTCCAGTGGACTTTTCATAGGATTTTTTTTCACTTTTTCTAAAATTTTAAGAACTCTCACAAAACATAATTCTTAAAAATTCTAAACACCAAACATTCCCTTAAAAATCATTCACAATAACTTATCTTCTTTCCAAGCAATTAAGCGAAAGTAAGAGTATAACTGATAAAAAATAATTAATGTAATATTAAACTATAAAAATGACAGATAAATAGTAATGATTTTTTCTCTGAAAAATCGACACTTAAAAGGAAAGGAGGGAGTAATATTTTAAAATTATATAATTTATCAGTAATTAACAATTTTATTTATTAATTGTAATTCATATTAGAGTCGAAAAAATCTATGCAGTAACTAAGATAAAAAGGGTTGTTTTAATTATGGCAATTGGTCTACAATTGATTTTATTTGGAAGACTTATCGTTAGTTGTGTGGGCCTGCCATCTATAGCTTCCTCACATGGAAAGGGAGACAAAAAGTATCTGATTTGCTCAACATTCTAAAGCTCAAAACCGCGTCACTGCACGAATGAACTAATTTACATTTGTTTAGTAATATAATTTAATCATTATCAAAACCATATGGAAAAATTTTATTCACTTTTCAAAACAAATATTTTGGTTCAATTTGCAACAATGTTGAAACTTTTTTTAGAACTGTAGAAGAACATTTACATGTTTTAAAATATTGAGGATTTTTAAAAGGTATATGAATCATATTTAAAATAGGACAGATTAAATAACATTTTACTATATCAGTAAATTTATGCAGCTATTCTGTGTGATTATAATACTTAATAATGCAATATGAAGATTGAAGGTTAAAATGGATTAAACCCAGTTGCATTAGTATTGATTATGCCCTACATTTCTCATCCATTAACTATTACTTCACGAGTTCACGAAGAAAAAACACCTTCCTAGATTACATCAAGTAATTGATTATTGTATTAAACAATCTCTAAGAATCTTATCAGGTGCAAAGATAAAGATAATGTTTGCCAATTATTGCAGTTTTTCATGCACGCTGAGCGCCACCATAACTTTTTTCTCTAGTTCAAGAATAGTTCATGAGCACTCAATTACTTCTAGAGACCCATGCAGGTTTCTTTTTTTGGGTTTTCTTTTGCCCATTAGAAAATTATATGAATAGTCATAGCCATGGATAGTTTCTCCCCTCCTTAAGAGAAGTGGCATGCTGCCATTAAACACAATTGTTAATTAACTATGTTGAGAATTTTCTTACATATGGCACGAAATGTGGCTTTCGAATAAATATTATTAACTGGTTCCCATGAAGTTGCCTTAAATATTTAATTTTATAAATACCATTCAATGTATTCATAGACAAATGTGAGGGTTTTTTTGTTTCTGTCTATGAAAGAAGTATACAAAAAATTGTCTGTATATGTAACATTCTTCATCCTACTACTTTGGTGCATGGACATTAGGAAACCAAAGTGTGAAGAGGGTATGAGGACCCACACGGTTGCAATGAGATCAATGGCAATATTTTCATACCAAAACAGTAAGTTAGGTGCTGCATAAGCCGTTATTCTTTTTCCTCCTTTTGATCTAAAAAGATTGAACTTTATTGTACAAAAGAGCTACAAAAAAGGACCCACCATTATGTCAGTTGCCCCCTTTGGTTTTTGGTAAAATTTAATTTCTGCTCCGCTCCCTTATTTGACTGGTAGACATGTAATGTGATCATGCAATGCACATTATCTCTAAAATTTTGTGCTTCTGTTAAGCCATGTCAATAAAATATGTTAATAGTTCATAATTATAATTGATGAGCACTTTTCATATCTTAAGATGGTTAATTTCTTAGATGATCCAAGTATCATTTTCAGGTAGCAGAAAACCAGATGGTGTAATGATATTTATTTACATTACTTTACTTCCAATCAGCAGGTGAGTAAAGGTTAACTCTCAAATTGGCTAGAGAATATAGGTTAAAATTAAAGTTAATGTGTCATTTTCATTAGACAAGAAGAGCATACGACATTGCATTATAACTATTTGAGTGAGAACAGGAAAATGATGGAGGGAGTGAGGAGGGAAAAGGAGCAACAATACATGCTTTGGAGTATGGTATGGTATGGCGTGATAATAACTAATAAAGCCATAACAAAATCTTCTTTATAGTCAAAAAGAAAAACCAAAGCACATACACACAAAAGGAAAAGGAATTAAGATCTTATGCCTTTAATCATTCCTCAAACTAGACTTTTATTTTTTTTGTTTTAGTCTGACCAAATAGAACAACCAAACAGAAAAGTAAGGGTTAACATTAATCTCTGATTGGTAAAGGCATTCCTAGCAGCCAGGTCCCTATTATACGCTAAATGTTTTTTAGGAGTTTTGATCATTTGCATTGAGCCCATTTGCGGTTCCAAATTGCCCATGTTGCTAAATCTATACCAAGATCACAAATTTTCCCTTTTTGACAAATGAAAAGATTATTGAGAGGCAAATGCATATTAAGAATTTCACCAAGAAAAAAAGCACCAACTAATTTTGAAAACATTTTTATGGTATTTATATTTAGACTTAGACTTTTCATTAACAATTGTTTTATTTACCTAGGTAGTTAAACTGTGCAACTATTTCCTATGACTGAAACTGAATAAACCAAATGAAACTAGTTACTTTTCATTGACATACTCAAATTTACTTTCAGTTTTGCATGTACACACGTGCCATCCGCCGCTACCTAAAAGGCTCAATATGAAGAGGATTACGTTCCAAGTTGGACCACTGAAATGAAATCACATTCCCTATCCCTACCCCCACCGAATTTCAGTCCTTGTGGACATAGTGCCTATTTGTACAAAGCCACATGCACTTACCATTTGCCCTTTGTGCTTTAAAATTTTGGCGCTTTCTGTCCTTTTTTCAACTCCATGTCCCATGAAATAAAGTTAAGGCAAGAATAAAAGGAAAGTAGGCACAAGGGTAGTACTACAATATTCCTGACTTGAAGATCCAAGACAGATATTCCCCCTCCCTCCCATTCCTCCCATTTCTAAGTGAGACCACTTCAACAAATGGAATATGAATGTAGCCCTCTTAACTGGGAATTCTACTACCAAGAAGAGGTGTGACATATATACTTTGTTAATTGGCTTAATTTGATCCCTTTTTTCTTTGCTTTTATATGTTTTTATTTACTTAGTATTGTATCATTGTTGAACTAGCAGGGGTTGGAGGACTTAAGGCATTCTCTTCTGTACACAACCTTGGAACTGGAGGCAACAATTGCATCAGCTAAGGAAGAGATTACCAGAAGAGAATGTGAATTGATCCATGTCAATGATCTTTTAAGCAGGGTCATGAAGGAGAGAGATGAAGCACAAGCAAAATGTCAGAAGCTAATGCTGGAAAAACTAGAGCTCCAACAAGAACTACATCAGAAGCAACAGCTACAACAACAACATCAACAACAACAACAGCCACAGCAAATTTTTCAAACGCAACAACATCAGCAACAACAACAGCCACAGCAAATTGTTCCAACTCAACAACATCAAAGAGACACTATATCCCAAAGTGAAGAAGAGCTGCAAGAAGGTCTCTCTGAAAAGCATTCTCTGCCAGCAGCTTCTTCAGATTGTGAAGAAGAAAACAGCATGCCCTCTTCTGGTGGCAGTTCAACCCCAAATCCAACACCACTACAAGTAGTGCTTGAATTAGCACAAAAGAAACCATTGGCAGAGAAAGGTAAGCTCCTAAAGGCAGTGGTAGAAGCTGGACCACTATTGCAGACCCTTCTCTTGGCTGGACCACTCCCACAGTGGCAACACCCTCCTCCACAACTCAACTCCATTGAGATCCCTCCAGTGGCCATTTCACCTCAAGACTCCTCCAAAAGTTGCCCTCTCAATAAGAAGAGGGACCTTGTTCTCTCTTCTTCTGCCACTGACTCTCCAGTTTCAAAGTGTAGAAAGGTCATTCACCACTTACCAACACCTACCACTGCTTCACATCATTCCCTACCACACCCATCATTTTCATAATGTTTCATCTCCAAAGCAAATCAGAATGAAACAGGTGGCCATTATGCATCACCTCAACTTTGTCCTCATATCAACAAACCTTGACCTACTTTTGCATGCTAGAAAAACGAGACTAAAATTGTTAGTGTTTAATGTTTCCCTAATCTTATCTTATTATGTATATATAAGATCCAATGGGGGTTAAATTCTCACAAAATTGTTGGGAATAAATAACCTCGTCTAAGTTATGACACAATTTTGTACTTTGGTAGATATTAGGAGGTGATGTAACCAGGCTTCAAATGGCTTATTTTTAATTAAAGGCTATTATTGTTTGCTCCTATTATTTTTCTTAAGCTATCCCTGCTTAGTAGAATAATGATACTTTATTATCAGCTACCGGCAAGCAATCATTTATCTTCCAAGAAATTTTCTTTCCCATGAAGCACACTTCATTCAATGTTTGTGTCTGCCATTAAAAGAGCATCTAATTACACTCCCCATGATGAAAAATGCATGTTGGCCAGACCTAGCTATAAAAAAATGTTTTTTTTTTCTTTTTTCTTTGCACAAGTTAGTTATAACTCAATAATTTGATAATTAAACAAGGTGTACAGGTTAGTAAATAAAACTAGTAAATGTGATTAACAAACATTATATATACCTAGTTATTTGAGTTTTATCATTAATCGTCATAAACATATTGTAAAAAAAAATTTATATGCTAAAAATATTTAATAACATGTTATAAAGCTATCCACATTGGTGGTGGAACTGTTCAAGTGTGAGGGTGGACACATGATCTCACACTTTAGGAACAACTATAAGTTCATATTTTTTTGGTCTAGGGTGTGGGAGACTAGGAAGGGAAATTTGGGAAGACAAGGATTGAATCTATATATAGTTTTGAATTTACTGAATTCAAGCCTAATTATATTTGAGTTCAGAAAAAAATTTGGGACGAGTGTTTTTTAGTTATTTACCTAAACCCAATAAACCTAAAATATTAAGAGCCTATTTGCATCAAGGTCCAAACTCTGTTACATGATTATCAAGATAAATTTTGTGTCAAGCTGAAATTTTTTTATTCTTTAAAACAGATTAAGGGTCTTATAAAAACAGGCTATAAAATGTTATTTATTCGTTGCTTTACAGAACTCAAGATAAACTAAATATTGTAAGTTTTTAATTTTTTTTATTAGACTGTCTCTGTTGACCCAAGATCCTATATTCGCCATCAATCCACATCGTAGTAAAATTGAATAACACCCAAAAGAAAATAAAGAAAAAAAATTGATATTTCCGAAATCTCTTTTAAGTTACCGTCAAATAGATTTTATTTCACATGGAGCATCATGAATCACGATCATGTGTGTGTCTCATAACCACTAAATACAATTAGTCAATGAAAATCACAGTAATTATTAAGAGGTTTTCAAACAGTGGTTTGTCATTTTTTTAAACATAACAATTATTTAATACTTGTTTTTGAAATAATAAAAAATGTTATATGATATATTAAATATATCTTAATTAATGTAATCAAGACATTCGTTAACTGGACATTTGTAAATTATCATGGATTGCACATGCAGTGAGAACAAGATCTATCTAAATGGCCCCTCTTAATCTACATAACATGCTAATTAATATGGAATTCCACATAGGCTCATAAGCTCTTTACTTTTGGAACCAACTAGCCATGGGAGGGCCACATGTGTATGCGTGTGGGGTAGGTGGCTTCACATAACTTGTGTTATATCTAAACTACAATTTTGGATAGATATGCGAAAATTTCTCTTTATTTGTAAAGTAGTATAATAACAAAATTGTCTGTATCAGTAAGATTTTCAAGCATATAACAAGGCTCAAAAGTAAAATAAAAACTATATGATCCTCTTCTCATCTTATGCTAGTTAGCTCTATATATATATATGAATGTACATTATTTCTATTTAGCTTGAAAAAATTGCATAAATAGTGAAAATATCTATGTAATGTGATCGAGTTTGGAAACATAAAATGGGCAAGTAGAAAGTCTATAAATGAGATGGGTGGTACCTACTTGACCAAGCAAATCTTTGACAGATAAAATTTGATGAACATGCTTGACAATGAGATAGAAATCATGCATGAACTTCTAGATATGAAAGACCAAAGCCATTGGAAAATGGAAGAGATTGAAAGTGTGACAGGCTGTTTTTACATGTAAATGATAAATAGTAGTATAATAAGAACAATTGGGTCTACATATATGTGTCGAAAGATGAAAAATATGGACAAAAATGTGTGTGGCATAAGTCATAGGCTAAAGCTGTAGCCCCAATAATTCAATCTTAAATCTTCAATGAGATCAAATCACCGTTGTCCCCCGAACAACGTTCAAAACCAGTTGTATAGCAGATAGAAGAAGTAGCCAAAGCCCATGCAACTTCCTTAGGTACGTATGCAGATAATGACCTCTCTCTTTTTCCCCCCTCAAAGGAACAAATTATTATTTCATATCACTCTCTAAACGCGTCCAATTTAATGACTTTTTTTAAGGTATGCTTCTTCCAATGAATCCGTTAATTGAAGGGACAATAGAAACTTACATATTATATATTATATATGTTGAGATTTTATCAGACAATAATTATGCTGAATCACATGTTATTATTCATATATAATAAAATTACAGTATAATCATAGATTTTCTTATGAACATATATCCCAATTCATGATGAAAATAGAATGCAGAAGCGTACCTGAATTTGTCATTAGGAACAATGAAGGTTATGAGATTAATAGCGGGTATTTGATCTTCCAAATGTAAAGCACCTTAGATTTATTTTTTTTTATTTCTCTTCTGACGAAGATGAAGAGATAAAAGAACTGTAATTGTACGTGTGTTACTTGCTCTATAAATGAGGACCATAACCCTTGTATTGGTAACTGCTATCAGTTATTCCAAAATTGATAATTATAATTTGACCCCTCATCAAATTATAATATCACCAATGGTATCTACACAATTAACCTTTCATGACATATATGCCCTTAGCCATAAACTTATATTAATTAGACCACTTTAATATTTTGACTAATAAAATAATGGCCCTAACACATTTAAATTATGTAATATATATATTTTGTAATTATTTTTCAATGTTGGCAAAAGAGACTTCTTCTTTTAGAAAATTAATTTGATTAATTTTATTTTGAATAGAATTAATATTTTTTGTAAATGGTTTGTTAGAAAACTTGAAGGTTATTTGTTTCCCTACCAGATAACCCGAAGTGGATCAAGGAGTTAACAATAACAGACTGAAAGGAAAGTAGGCAGTAGCAGGACTACTAAATGATATGTAGAAATTAAAGTTGCAGTATGTAAAATCAACAATTAAAACATAAGAAACTAGAACGGCGGTATAACCAGTACGGATCTAGTGAGGGAAGAAGAGAAGAAAGCCGGACGACGGTAGTCCGAACAGAACCGGCTAAGAGGGAGAAGAGAGGAAAATAATTTGAAACAGCAAATTTTATTGAAAAGATCTCAAAGAAGAAAGCTTACAAAGGATTATTTCTCTCAGAGTTTATCTCTCTTAATCTCTCTATACTTGCTAAATGAAAGGGTACCTCATAATATAGTCGAGGCCTCCTTATATAGAAAATTAAAATACTGTTTGTATAGTTCCGATAAATAACATGAACTATTTGTACAGAGACGGTCACAATTCTGTTATGTCTATACCATAACAGTCATCTTCATTTTGATAAAAGTCGTCATCTTTGTTGGGATTAGACTCCTGTTTGGTAGAAGTTTCGGCTTCATCTTGATTTAATAGAAGAAGGACTTCTTTTAAGTTTTTCTTCATTTTATCTTTAGAATCACATCCTGATAGAAATGCGGCAATCTTTGCTTTTTGATTCAAAAATTGGAAAGTTGCAGGATCAGCAAGTTTCAAGAGTTTTGGATTATTTCCAAAGAACTCATTAACTCCTTATGGATCAGCATGTTCTGCGTTGAATTAATTCCACCATTTCACAAAATCATGTCTGTGAATCATGGGAAGAATATCATCTTCTTCTGTTTTGCTATACCTGTACTGCCATGAGAATACCCAGGCCATTGCAAAGGCAGAGAAATACTTGAGATCTGCTCCAATTCTGTTAGGGGCATATCTGGTTTTGAATATTTCAAATCCTTCTTTTACTGGAGAGGGAAGGATTGCCTCTAAAGGTCCAAAGAAGTCCCACCATTGAAGGAACCAGTTAGGGGAATTGTAATTTTGATTTTTCTTAAAATAAATCAACCAAGAGTATCGATTGAGTTTGTTTTGGAACCAGAAAGTCCTTGTCCAGGCATCTATGTAGTCCCAGTAATTATATCCTACCGGATCAAAAGGTTGGGAGAATTTCTTGGGTGTATTTGGATTGTTTCCAAAATTTTTTGGTGACAAGATTTTTAAAATCTGTATAGTTGAATGAGTAATTACCGAAGGATCTTTTTGGTCCTTGTAATGTTTAATAGAGACAGAATCTGAATCTATTAATATAAACTCATAAAATTGTCTGGTTTTATTCAAGGCATATGGTCTAAAATGAAAACCAGGAGGGAAGGCTTTGGTGATGGTTTTGTATGAGTTTTTGTCCCAAAATTCGGGCTCCATTTGAATGACAGAGGAAAATTTTCCTTTTGCCATATAATGATTGGTATTTGGGGTTTTACCCTTTTGAAGACTAATAGCTTTCTCTGTTTTGTCTGGGAGGCTTATTGTCTTTTGTGACTGGCTGAAGGACTGGATAATGGTGTTTAGATTTGCTAAATCAATTTCCATGTCTTCATCAGAGGCAATGTCTGCCCAAGATTTCTTTGGTAGGTTATTTAGGCTACCTTGTTGTATGGCTAGAAGTGTATTAACAGGGAAAGCATAGTCTGCTTTGGTTTGTTTAACACTCTTTGTTTGTGATTGGGAAGAATCAACCTTGTTGGATGAGTCTTTTTTAGGAATCACAGATTGCTGAGTAGATGACTCTACAATCTGGATGGCTTTCTGGGTGGATGACCCAGCCGGAGTGGATGACTCCGAAGAACTAGAACAAGAGTCTGTTGTAACAGACTTTGATTTTGTTTTGTTGAGAGTTAGAGCGAGCCTAACTCTTCCTCTAGAAGGGGCTGTTGCCTTTCTAGACATTGTACTTATCCTGTAAATATTCACGGGTAAGGTAGTCAGGAAGAGAGTTTGAAGTACCTTTGAGATACTCGATATCAAAGTCGAAAACACTTAAAATTGCTTGCCATCTTGCAAAGATTTGTTTTGAGACAAGATTTTTTACATCCTTTTGTAAAATTTCT